ACCGACGGGACCCGCCGGGGGGACGGCTCGCTGCCACCAAAGGCCGCAGAATGTCATGGCGGTGTCACGTCCGGGACGGGACGCGGATGGCAGGCAACTGGCAGGAGAAGGTGGGCTGAATCGAACACAAGCCGAGAATACAAGGACCATCAAAAAAATGACTGGGAGTGAGATGTATATATTTTTTTTCTCCCCTCCACCCCCTCTAAACAGGGGTGTCAAATTCATTTTTGAAGTGGGCCACATTGCAGTTACAGTTTCCCTGTGCAGGCCATTATGACTGTGATTTTTGTGAAACTGTATAAATGTTTGATCACCTCCACATATTACATGTACAGTGCACAACAAATTGGTGGATAAGCAGTTTTGAAATCAGAAGTCAAGAATAATGGTTAGTTCAGCCATTGTTTACGTTCATGCAATAAGTACGGAATGAGATAATGTTTGCAATATCTCAATGTCATGAAGGATTACATGTGGCTGCATGTCATACATAAAGCATATTTGACAATAAAGATGACCTTGACAATCTTAAATTTTGGTTCAGACTTTAGCAAGCATCGTGGAAAAGTTGACATGCTTGATTTGCTCTCCCGGGCCACAGAAAATGATATAGCGGGCCAGATCTGGGCCCCGGGCCTTGAGTTTGACACCTAACTCACGTGTGACAGTTGGGAATAATTTTAAGAATTTACGAAAATAAAGTTACATAGAAGAGACAGTAGAATTAGGTGCCTAGTGCTGCCGATAATGTTTAGTCGGGGCCCAATGGATATGAATTTTATTTTGAGGCTGACGATTCCGATATTCGGCAGATTACAGAACACTTAGAACAAGAAAGATATGAATTTGGGGAGAACATTTGACTCTTTGAGAATACTTTGTCCTTGAGAATTTGAACTGATTTTTGATGATTAATCTCTTTAACGCAAAATGATTTTTTTTGGGGGGGGAGACGGGTGGGGGGTGTTTGAACATCACCTTTGCTGGTGTTTGCAGATCTTAAAAGAGCTAACAAGACCCCCCCCCCCCCCAAAAAAAAAAATCTGCAGTCAGCACAAGGAACACATTTCAGGCTAAAAGTGTTCCTATTCATTCAGATTCCGAGCTGACATCCCTGAAAACACGTTGGCAGAAGGCAAAGTTCCGCTTGAGGCTGTTGGAGGGTCACAATGACATCATCACCTGCGTGCTCGCCGTTGACAACCTGGTGATTTCTGGCAGGTAAAAATGAACACATAAATCATTTGAATAGCGTTGCGAGTGTGTGAGCGAGCGTCTCATGCATTATTCAACGTTTGTGTGTGTGATCTTTATGACTTTGCATTACCTCGACTGTAACATTTCATGGTCTCTCTTTGCGCCCTCTGCTTTATGTTCCACCCATTCCGATCGCTCGCCTCAGATCTCGTTGCGTTTTATCGGAACTCGACTCCCGCGCTCGCTTCATCTCTCTCTCCCTCTCTCCCCCTCCCACCCTTCAAGCCGCGATACGACCATCAAGGTGTGGCACGTTCCCACGGCAACGGAGCACAAGAACCTGGGGGGTCACACCGGCGGGGTTACCAGCCTGTCTGCCCCTCCCGCTGAGTACTGCAAAAAGCTGGGTGAGGACACAGCCTTCCCTTCCCGCTATTTGCTGATTATTTTTATTTTTTTTACAGAATCCGGTGAAAGCACGCAAATTTGCAGTTTGACAGCTTTGCGCGTTTTGGGAAGCGAATCGTCATTCTTCACTCAAGCTAGGGGTGTGCAGCTCGACAACAAAAAACGATTCGATACGTATCGCGATTCAGTTTGGGATGGTGGGGCTCAATTCAAGAGGATACGATGCAATGAGGTTCTTCTTGTCATTTTACCGACAAGAACTTGTCAGGACGTGTAAATGTGGCATTGCCTTCCAAGACATCTCTCTCCAATAAAAGACCACTCGATACATGGCTGCCTTCGGTTCGATTCGATGAGCTCCACATCTGTTGAATCAAAACTGACTTTTCCATTCAGATTGTCTTTTTTGGTACACCCCAAGCTGAAATGTAATTTTATTTAATGAGCGTGTTGAAGAAAGAAAAAAAAAAGAGCAACCTTATTGCTTTGCAGCCATCTAGTCGTATCTTGATTCCTGGCACGAACTACGTCAACGTAAGTGGAGGCGCTCCACTTAGACAAATGTAGTGCTTTGCCAGAATCCGATGGCATCTTGATGTCAAGAACTGTCGAAATTAGTTGGGAAGCTTCTTTTGGACAAACATAATGCATTGCTGCCATCGTGTGACATCTTGCTGCCAAGCAACTACATTGACTTGAGTCGCGACGCTTCATTTACACTAAAGTAGTGCAGTGCCGCCGTTCTGTGGCATCTTGGTGCCAAGGAACAATATTAAATTAAGGTTAGTTGAGGAGGTTCGTTTAGAAAAAGTGGTGCTTTGCTGCCATATTTTCACATCTAAAGGTCAATTAAAAACCTTTTTCAGGCAAAAGCCAATTACTCGCATTTTCACACCAGCGCTCTGTCACCTGTTTTTCATCTAATGCAAGTGCGTCAGTAACTTGTCTCCCACGATAGATGAGGGTTCACTGTACACACACACACACACACACACACACACACACACACACACACACACACACACACACACACACACACACGTCGAAGTACGGTACATGTCGACGGATGTGTGCAGCGTTTTAATTATTGAAGCGCTTCATCACATCAAGTCCAGAGAGAAATGAGACTCTTGTGTCTGTCTGACTGACTGAGTGAGTGAGAACACTTGAACTCATGCACTCGATACGTCTCGTCTCTTACCTCGTCCCAAGAGAAGCATAAATAAAGCACTTATTTACTGTTATGTAATCCCCTCTTGACACCCCCCCCCCTCCCCCCCACAGCCTGGTCGCTGTCATTGCCAGACGACGAGAGGTTCATTTTGAGCGGCTCGGCGGACTGCAACGTCAAGATCTGGGCCCTGAGCGTCGGTAAGCCGAAGACGGTTCAAGAGAGGCTTTCATCGACACCGACGTCATTGGGCCACAAACTACGGTTGTTTTGTGCGACACAACTCGTGTAAACACAGCACTCGGATTAATATCGCGTTTGTGGAATATAAATTAAGCAGCCAAATTCGCCCGTTTTTGTTCATCTCAAGCACACATACTGTATGACTGCAGTACCAATTGGTCCCTTGGAGCTGAATTCAAAAGGGCAGCCATCTTACGTTGCCATCGTGACGGACGACTTCAGTTATGTTTTTTCCCTTGCTGAAAACAGAGCAGTGGGCGTTTTATACCAGGATCCCTGCATGGAGTCACAAGAGCCTCGCAAAGAACAAACTTCACTGTTTGCATCGACCATTCAGAGTATATTGTCTCAGTCTGATGAATCGTGACTTACAGGGTTAGGCTTACATTTTGCAGCAAATTTTGTCCTGAGGGGCTTTGCTTTCATTTCATTGTGGATGGTGCTGACAAAGCAATGTAGACGAATCGTTGCATAGCACTCGGAGATAAACCTTGTAAGAGAAAATTTATAATCCCATTCTTACCGATGAAACACGCATGAAGAGCTTCACCCAGACTTCTTGGTACAACCATACACCACGCACTGTGGGATTTTCACTGTACGGACAGAAAATAACATGAAAACACTGCCGAGAGAATCCATGTATTCACCTTAGGAACGCTTAGCGAGTGACAATGCAAAATGGCCGCCGGTGGCTTCGTTTCTTGCTCCGGCAAGTGGCAAAATGTCCGCCCCCTGAGCTTGATAAAAATTCACATTAAACAAATGCAATATTACGGCAATCAGAAGGCCGTATTTAGACGAGCGGGGCCGTGCAGAACACATTCTAAAGAGCATTTTTCACTTGACTTACCCATTTAAACCCGAACGGCTAAAACAAAGGACAGTAAAGAAGAGGAGGATTTAGGCACAATTGAACATCAATGGAATATTTTGTCTGCTTATGTCTGTCACTCACTCACACACACACACACACACACACACACACACAATTCTCCAAATGTACTGCTTGGCGCAAATGTTGTTCAAAATTGCCTTTGTGTGATGCTAGCAACAGACTATTATGTTTGTGTGAGCAGTGGTCTGCGGGCTGGCAATTAAGTCCGTAACACCTCTTTCCTTTCCTCCCACGCAGGCCAGTGTGTGAAGTCTATCTACACGTTCAACGCTGTGACAGCGCTCAGCTTTGTGCCGGAGGGCGACGGCTACATCGTAACTGGATCAGGTGTGTGTGTGTGTGTGTGTGTGTGTGTGTGTGTGTGTGTGTGTGCGCGCGTGTGTGTGTGTAAAACCAAAGACACGTCAATCAAAGTCCACCGTAGACAAAGGAATGTGCTATCAAGCAGCATAGAGAGCATGAAGATGAATGCGCCGGTTACGTGTGCGCGGCTAGCGCACACATTGGCGCCCAATTTAGGCCAGGCGGAGGAGCTCAGGTGCGTCGGCCGTGACTGGCGTTAATGGCCGCCGCGCGCCTGTCGCTGAGTGTTAACCTCGCACTCTGTCACACCCCCGCTCCGCAGACGGGGGCAAGGTTCAAGCCTGGAGCTGGCGCACTTTGGATAACTGCCAATCAATCAACGCACACCAGGAAGCGGTCACCTCCATTCAGGTAAGTGGCTCTATCGCCATGGCGACAGACAGAAATACTCAAAAGACTTGATGGAAAGGCAAGTCTGATATTTGATTTGACAAAAAGAAAGAGGTGGGCGTGCCCTGATATCAGGTATCGCTCGATAGCGGCCTTATTTCAATGCAATGGTGACTCGCGACGGCGGCGGCCGATACCAAGGCGCCCTCTTGTGACCAATTTACCCTCAGGAACTAAATGAAAAGAGGGGAAGAAGCTTCTGTTGGACAAGGCTCTGTCTATTCTTTGCTATTTGTTTGTTCAAATGTATTTTGGGAATAGAGTGACATGACATTGATTGCATATCCCCATTTGGTGACTATATTTGGACCAGTTTTGTCTGAGTGAAGCTAGTACTACAACGTCACCTCGCGCGCCGGTTTCTCGTGGCTGCCATTTTCCAAAGAGTTTGGCTCCATCCTTTCCCAGGAGGATTTTGTGAAAGAAACTCTGGTATGGCGATCCACCTTCCTCACTGGGTTATTTTTAAGCTGCTTGCGGATGTGAAAGACATGAAAACAAATGTTCCTCCCTCTCTAGTAGCGCGCGAGGACACATTTTCAAGAAACGTGTCTGTAGAAAAGCCTTTGGAAAAATTCAGCCGCCGCCGCGTCTTATCCGGGCCCGTTTATTGCTTCCAAATGGGCTTTTGTTAACGTGTAAGCCGGCCAAATGTACAGCAAAAGCCTTTTTTTTTTTTAATGATTATTGAAATGCCGAGCCGTTTTTGTTCAATTTGCAATCATCATCGCAGTACGCCTGAGGCATTCGAGCTGTCATTGTTCATCTCTCCGAGCGTACCGCCCCCTTTATTTCTAAACCGTTGCCCCTTGAAAGCACACGCGCGCGCCGGTGAGTACAGTACACACGCGTCACCATGACAACCGCGTGCTCTCCACAGTGCCAGGGTCCGCTGGTGTTCAGCGGCTCGTCCGACGGAGGGGTGTCCGTGTGGGAGAACCGCTGTAGCGAGCGAGACCCCCTGAGACTGCTGCACGGCTGGAGCGGTCAGGTGACAGGTTGCGCGGGGGGGCGGCTGGCCCTCAGTCCCCGCGGGGAGAGAGTGCTGCTCGCGTACGGGCGGCCCTGGATCAACATCCTGCACTGGATCACGGGTGAGTGGGGCTTTCAAGTCATCGTGTCGCGTGAAGAACAAATCAACGGCCGGGACGACTGGAGGCCGCAGCTCGCGGAAGCCTTGAGATTTCACATTTCACCTTGCATCTGTGCACCGACCGCAGGAACGGTTTCCAGACTGACCAATCACAGTAGCGTCACCGGGGTGACCGACTGCGTGCACCAGACAGCCGGCCTCCTCATTGGCTCCTGCTACGACGTGGCCAATGGCGAGAGCACGCTCAACTGTGAGTGCTTCACTCGAAAGGCGTACGTCCAACCAGGACGACGCTTATTTTCAAATGTATCATGATTATGAGAATTTTTTTTGGGGGCGGGGGGGTTCCCTTCAAACTCCAAAGGTGTGAATTACAGGCAGAACATTTGATTGAGCGCTTTGGCATTTGTTGAACTTGACAACGGGGAGCGATTTTCATGAGAAAGTGAAATTCGGTCGTCGTTCAATCGGCAAATGATTCTTATTTTGGAAAAAAGTTCCTCTCCGTTCCTTGGTCTCTCCCTGCAGTGTTCTCCCTGCCTCAGTGTCGCTACCTGGCCTCTCTGACCTGGCCCCGAGCCCCCAGAATGCTTTGCTTCGCCGCATGGACCACGGGGAGCGGCGACCACCGCTGGGTCAGCGGCGGGCGCGACCTCGTGGTGTGGGAGCAGCTCCCTGGCTCCGGAAAGCAGAGGTACGCCGCCGTCTTTCAAAGAAAAAAAAAAAAAAACAAAAAGCGGGGAGTTTGCATTTGGTTCAGCCCGGTCAATGATATTCCCTAATTTGCATATTCATTTTTTCTCCCCTTGCATTGCTAATTGCATTTGTTTAATGGGACATTTTAATTGCTTACGCACATCTGAGGGTCTCTGGAGTGTCAGCCCACCCATCAAGTGTGAAATTAAACTACAGAGTTTTTTTTTTTTTTTTTGTGAACACCCTGTCAGAAAACGTTACGGGCTAATTTAAATAATAACGCACCCCAACGCCGAGTTTCTTCACCCATGACTTGACAGGTGCATGGGTGAAGATCCAGCACTTTCTTTGCCCTGAACGACGAGTAATTGGCGCCCTCCCTAAAATGTTTCTTCACTGCCAATGTTAATATTTCAAAATGTAACTACTCCACAAACAGGGGATGAACCACTTTCCTGCTATTATGAACCTGAAGACATCACACGCTGACAACACACTCATGACAGTAAATAAAGAGATTTAAAAAAAACATAACAGGAAGGACAACAAAATGAAGCCTTCTTCCACATATTCCTACGCTATTGCACAAACGAGTTCATCGCGCGCTGTTCGAAACTGCATCTGTCGGGACCGTCTTGAACCGAAGACCCGCTGTTTGAACTTGACGTAAATGTCAACACGCAAAAACAACTGAAAAAGACAACTTCCAAGTTCCTAAGTCAGTTTTCGATTAAGTTCCGCGGCATCCGTAACTCACCGACATCATCGTCAGGTTTCTCTTGCTCCCGCTGCGCTGTTTCTCCCACTCGGTGGTCGTCCTTGGTAACGGCAAAGCCGAACTTGCGTTGGCACACCCCACAGTTGAGGGTCGTGGTGGGAGTTGCCCGTTTCCAGGAGACATAAACAAAACGTGACACATGCACACATAAACAGCAACAATGACCCAACACTGAGTGATCGGGTCGGGAGTCCTTTTATACAGACAACTAATGACAATGACCAACAGGTGTGCAGTTGCAGGCGGAGCCCCACAGTGCCCCCTGTTGGTCACAAACAGAACCATGACACACAGAGAGACAGAAATGTTTGTTTGTTTGATTTTTTTTTCCTCCTCCTCTCCAACCCTCGCGATCGACTTGCGAACAGTCCGCGAACTGCCCGTCGACCGCGATCGACGTAATGTGCACGCCTGTTCTAGACCTTAATGAGGTTAACCGCTGTAGAACATGTTGAAAAAACCCCAAAAGGCCTAATATGTGACTTTAAACACACCAGGGGCGACATTACGGTTAGGAGAGACGTCCGGTTAGAATTGCCGCTGGAGTCCGAGGGGGACACGGAAGATGACGAGGATTCGGACGGTAAAAGCCACACGCTTCTCTCGCCTTCGTTTCACCGCCTTGGGAGTGTTCATTTTAGATGATGCGCGTCGTGACAATTGCCTGCGGCCTCCTTGTTGAACTTAGAACACCTTGATGATGATGACAAGGACGACGCGGGAGGAGACGAGGACGAGGACGCGGGGTCCGCCGGCTCGTGGTTACGTTGCGTCCTCCAGTGAGGAGCCACGATGGGGAGGAGAGACCGGAGCCTCAGGCTGGATTTTTTGCCATATGAGTCATGGGAGTATAAGGGGCCGGGGGGGTGTACAATCATATCATACGCATTGGATATCAATGGACAATTATCTTGTCTGAAGCTCAGCATATTAACCGAAATAAACGCATATATGTATCATCAAGCAAAAGGAGAAAACATTCAAGGCTCCAACGCAAAGGATATTTCAAACATAAGAAAAACTAAACAAAATCAGAGTACTGAAGTTAGTGTAATGCCTTTACATGGGGGCAAGGAGAGCCGCAGTCGTCGATGCACTTTTGGACGTTTATTGAATGGGATGAACAAATGCAAAATGAGAACACTTGCAAGGAGCTGCTGTCGGCCACAACTCCCGCCCGCACCCTCGCGCGCAGACTAACCAGCCAACATGACTCCAGTTCATGATGTCACTCACGAGGCCACGCCCCTTAAAGGACGACCTTCGACACAAAGACTGCAGCATGTACAATAATATTTTTCTTGTCATTTTTTTGGGGGGGGAGTGGTGGGGGACAGTACAGTGCAATTTTTCTTGATTAAAAACTCACTGACAAAAAAATATTTCGGGAAAGCAACCCCACGTGTGTTTGTCTGTGATTGTTTCCTCTGCAAATATTAGTTGCAATAAAGCCGTCAAACAGAAATTTGCATCGCGTCTGTCCCTTTTATTTATTTATTTATTTATTTTCCTCAACGTCAACCTGACCGGGGCTCCTTCGCAATAACCGGCTTATCCCGCCGCTGAGCCGGTGTGACCTATGTAAATGAACGGGAATTCAATTATTCTCCACCTTCTCCGCCTGCTTTGTTTTTCTCTCGAAAGCGTCCTGCAGTTATGATAATTGAAGTTTTTTTTTTTTTGTGCCCCTGCCCCCCGTTCTGCTGCCTATGAAATGATCTTATAAACATCGCTTTCTGTATCATTTGTTTGCCACGTCAAATTTGTTGCTTTTAATTTGAAGTCATGAAAAAAAAAACCCACACACCCATAATTAGCATTTAAATCTCTCTCTGGCAGTCTCTCTCCCTCCATCGCTCGCTCTGCCTCTCTAGCGGACTTCATGTCTCGGTCGCTAAGGCAACCAACGCTTCCCCCCCCTCTCCATCCCTACCCGCTTTGCGCTCTGTATCTCCCCTATTCTCTCATTCCCTCTCTCCACTTGCCAGAGGTAGGCACCGATATGGGTCGGGAGCGCGTGAGTGACATTTGGTTGACATTTGGGCAGCCAAGTAGTAGTAGATGGGAAGTTGGCTCCAAGTGTCGTTGGCCGCTGGAGCGACGTGACGTCGCTAATGATGATTTATGGGCTTGGCTGTGAACGCGTGCGACTGGTTCCGGGCAATCGCGGTGTACTTTTTGGCCGTTGATTGCACGCAAGAGAGAGTGAGTGCGTGGTGCGTAATTGAGCGTTAAGAACTTGAAATGGCCCGCGGGAAGCGGGTATATTTAGCTTAGATTGAAAAGCGGGATTTTTGCCAATACTATCAGTGTGTGGATCCGAGACCGAGAGAAAAGCCGGACCCTCCCCCTTTGTTTTCCTCTCTTTTGCTCATCTTCCAGAGATGATCGGCGCGCCGGAGTGTCAGTGAACACAGCGAAGCGATGGAGAGATGGTAAAACGGCAGAGTTTGGCGCAGAGAAGAAGGCAACTTCTCCACCTCGCTCCTAATCTTTGTCCTCCCCTCCAGCTCCATCGCTCCTGTCGTACAACTGACCGCCCTCGTCTCCCTGGTCCTGGTCGTCCTGGTGACACGGCCCTCTACTTGTCACTGTGACGACGAGGGCGAGGAGCGGGCGGAGGCCCTGGCCGTCCAGCTGTCCGTCAGCGCCCAGGCGACGCCCACCCCTCTCTGGGCGGTGGTCTGGGGGCCCACGCACCCCCTGGAGGACGAGACCCACCACCTCCTCTCCAGTCAGGAAACGGAGCGGCTGCGCCAGCACGGGAGCCAGCGGGAGGCGGGTACGGCCGCCGCGTCCTCCGCCGACTGGCTCTACCCCGACGCCAGCACGCATCCCCGAGAGGATGCGCGCCCGGAGTCGTGGAACCGAGAGGGCGTGGAGGACGGCGGGGCGGAGGAGGCCGAGCTGGAGGAAGGTGGGTGTCAGGGAAAATGACGCGCCGCCGCATTGCCACGAGTGCTCCTGGGAATTGACTGTCACGGGGTGAAGGTTGACCCGCTCCACCTCCGTCCCCGCTGCACCCCCCCCACGCGAGCGCAGTCGGCTGCGTCTGGAAAGCCTCATTAAGTTGCCATCGTTCAGCGCCGGCAATCGGCCGCCGTCAAGAGATGCGCGAGAAGCGGCGGGATGGCTGTTTTTGTTGCGAGTCTTTTGGCACATCTAATTTCATGTTCAGCTGCCCTCATTGATTTCTTCTTTTGTTCTTGCTATAATTATATACCGTCACGCTCTGAAAATAGTAACTGTGCGTGTGTGTTACAGTGGACCCTCAGTTCTACGTCACTGTGACCATCTCCACGCTGCTCATCCTCACGGCGATCATCATCACGGCGAAGCTCTGGTAGGAACTTCCTCCTTTCTTATTTGTGATCAGGCAGCACGCGGGCCGGGCGTTTGCGACTCGGGCCTTCATTTTGGGGAGGGACTTCATCCGTGTCTTTGGGACCACCTCTCTCACGCCACAGCCAATCATGACATCATCACCACATGCGTCGTCCGAAGCCGTTTTGAGAGCGTGAGAAAAGGATTCGGCAACCGCCGTTCACGGCTCCCCCGTTTGCCGAGTTCCGTCATGTGACATCTGCAAGCTGAGCGGCGATCAGTCGCCCCTGAGCAACTGCGATGTCACTTTCAGTCGACACCAAGTGGCACCAAATGACCCAGGCCGCCGTCCCCCCCGAGATGGATAAAAACGGTTGGATCTTGCCGCTTCATTCATCTTCCACAAACGCAATATTCGGCAGAATGGACTAAAACGAGTGGGCTGCAGGGAATATGGAATTTCCGAGGTGACTTTGGCCGGTATTTTAGGAAGGTGACACAATTTCCTGCAGTTCGATGCCGCTGACGGTGTCGAGGCGCCGACTGGATTGGACAATCAAATTAAAGAATGCTTCGAACGCAATGAGCGGATCGCTAAGAAGTTCAGGAGGATATTTCCGCCCCCTTCGAGCAATCATGCGCTGCAAGAATACATTTAGAATGTTTTGGTTTTTTGGGGGATCTGGGGGGCATTTTAGCGAATGTCACTGTAGAAAACAGATTTGCTATCAATGTATATTCACCCAAAACGTAGCTTTACATGGAGGTGGGGACTTGTAGAGCAGATATCGGATACTCGGGACTTGGCGGTGCTGCCATTTGCTCGTGCCCAACAAGAGGGACAAGGACTAAGTTAGACGTTTGCTTCAATGAAGGCCTCAAACCCAGAAACAGCAGCACTGCGCCACCTGACAATCGTTGCACGATCGTAAAAATTCTTCGGGATCGGGAAGTACGAGAGCCGATAGTAAGCCGCCGCAAACATCCTTTTCTCATTGAGCTCCAAAAACGGGCACCACCGCGTTGTATCCTGACACCAAATTTGAAGCCGTCACCCGCGGTGTTGAAGGATCACCAAAAGCTGGGAAAGCTCTTTCGAATTCCCACTTAGCCAGCGGACACGTGTTTGGGGGAAAGTTTGCCGAGAGCTTGTCTAGCCGCAGCAGAGCCAACATGAGCCCGGGGGGGGTGGAGAAGGGGGGGGGGACACCCCAACTAAGCTGTCAAGGCTCTTTCCATCCTTCACCGTCCTCTAATGAACTCCAGAGCTGACCTTGTTTCCTCTTGAGGCTTTTTGCCTTCAACACGGGAGGCCGAGGCGTTAAGACACGAGCGGGAGCTCGGAGGCGAGCTGCTGTCATCCCCTTCGCACATGACGCTCTTGCCATCGCGCGTGGAAAGAAGCTACATTGCAGCGGAAAACGGATGTGTTCTTTTCATCCGTCGTGAAGTGCTCCGCCAAGACGGCTTTCTGTCGCCTTTTTTTTTTCTTCTAACGTTCATGTTAGTAGAAAATACCGTAACCTGAATGTTGAACAGTACAGTCCATCGGTGCCTTGAGATACGAGGAAATTGTCTTTTGTTTTGTTTTTTTTTAAACAAGGAAAAATCTCTCTCCATAGAAGCACTTTGCATGAATTGAAGAGCCGTTATGCTGCTGCCCACCTTGGCCACCTGGGGGCAGTAGAAGACAGACAGATACAGTAGTACGCCTACTTATGAACGTCTCTTCATGTGAAATTTTCAAGTTACGAAACGCCTCAACAGGAAAATATTGCCTCTTGTTAGGAAAGACTTTTCAAATTGGAAAAGGTAAAAATACAGTCTGGGGTGCTCGTCGCAGCTCTGAATTTCCTGAACGCAACGTACTGAGAGCTGCTCTGCCATTGGCTATCGCCAAGCATCATGCCGGCATCCCATTGGCTAAGAAGGACCTCGAGCGAATGTGTCTATACGTGTAGATAGAGAGATGTGAGTCTATGCAGCATCCTCGTCATTTGCCCCTTGGGCAATGACGTGTTCAGATAGTTTTGCGTAGATGGGGGGGGGGGGGGTTGTGGGGGGGGGGGGAAAAATATTTGAATTGCCAGAAACCTGAGAAACATTCGGAATGAGACATAAACAATCCCCGCCAGAAGCAAGAATTTTTTGGTACACGCTAAAGTTGGAACATTTCAAATCGGATGAGAAATTTCAAAGTCGTAAAGGGACAAAATAAATCAATAAATAAATAAATATATCTTTGGCGGGCTTCACCACTAAACCCTGCGACTTTTCCATCTTCCTCCCACCACCAGAGGGGCACATTACAAAGAAGCGAGGCGCCGCCACCGCTCGTTTCTTCAGATTTGTACGGATAGCTTGAAAGATTTGCTTTCACTTTTGGGGGGGAAAAAAAAATGGTCATATTCCACCTGCCATCACGCGGCTCGTACAAAGGACGGCCGTTGTTTATGTACAACCGCGGCGGAGAGCGGCCATTAAGGGGAAATGGGCGACGCATCCTGATGATATAGTGGCGCACTTCCACGCTTTGCTGATCAGACCAATAACGTCAAGTTGATTTGACCGCCGGGTCTTGTGCGCCTCGTTCCCCCTCCCTCCCGCATCTTCTTCTGTCAAAGATTCTTGTTGTTTTACGTCGCTTATTTATGCCTTCGTTCTCCGTCTCCATACTGCCAATTTTTCAATCCGGCGTCGGGAACGGTCTAATTTGTTCCACTTCATATTCCCTTTTCGCACTTGAGCTCAGATTTGCCCCCACGGTCTTACGTTCTCAAAACCTCCCTCTTCCTCCTCTTCCTCCCACTTGGGCCTCGCTCGCCTCGCGGGGATTTGCTTTCTTGCTCTCAATACCTGTCCAACCCCCCTCCCCCCCGCACTTCTTTCCTTGTGGTTCTTGGCTTTCTATCCGTATTGTAATTGCCGTCTTTGCATCTTATCTCCGACTCCAGTCTCCTTTGTGCGGCTGCAGATTCATCCTCTGAGCTGCTCCACCATTAAATAAATAAATAAATCACACACACACACACACACACACACACACACACACACACACACACACACACACACACACACACACAGAAGGGCCTTTCAGACAGAACCTAACTGTTGCTTCTCGAATTTGCATCAGCCGTGACCTCATTCAAACGAGAGGCGAGGGTATAGCACGTTGCGCCGCTCGCACTATTTCCGTGCGGCGCGATAGACCGGCACCAGCCGGTCTATCGCGTGTCATCAATGTGTAAATAACGCCATGTGTCGGATGGGCCGCAGATGGACCGGAATGATAGCGTCGAGTGGCAAGTGGCCGCCATCCAGTTCGGCGTGATTACAGAAGAGCCGCGTGCGAGCGAGAGAGTTGTTTTGCAGGCGCGAAAATCGTCGGCGTGATGAAGTCGAGCTCGACGGAGGCCAAGGGCGGGTGTTACTCGGGTCCAACGAGGACAAAGAATTGCTTTTGTGGAGGTACATTCAGCTCTGGTGCGCAGCGTGAAAGGCATCTGATTGTTTACGAGAAAGGCATCTGATTGTTTACGTTCGGACAAATAATGGCGGATGCCGCATTGCCGCTGTAGCGCAGAAGCCTTGTTTGTCCAATTATGATAGGGAAGAGAATATGGACCTCGTTCCGGAATGGTGGGGAGAGGCTGGTACGGACGCTCTATTCTCCAAAAAGCACTTGAGGTCACGAATTTTTTTGACGACACCACGTTTGCTCGTCAGCTTCTAGTTTTGCAGACTTTCGGCGTTATGGTCGGGAAGCATCCCGGACGACTAATCGTTGAGTATGTCACACCGCATCGGCTACTATGCATCAAAGCAACTCGAAATCGGCGACGAAACACGACATTTGTCTGCGACACATCCTTCGGCACAAAACACGACGTGTCAACAAAGAGAGAAGATGACAGTGATTATTTATTTTTAGAAGTAGAAGCAATGGCTTCTTGTACGCACAATAACACATGCGCATACACGCACACACTACTATATACTACTACTACTACTATTACATAGAGTGCAAATAGTTTGTATGTAAAATTCTTACACTGGTGGTTTTTTGGTGCATACATGATTTTGTCACTGGCATTGACATTTTCAGTTTTTGTTGTTGGTTTTTCATAGAAGAACTGTTCAGATGTTGAAAGCAATCTGAATCACCGTTGCCACATAATTGTTGGTTGGTTTAGTGGTATAATAAGGCTTAGTGGCAGGGGAGGGTTAGTGGGGGCTTATGTGGGACAGTTGGCATTCGTTTAGTGCTGCAGTTTGGTTTGATTCAGTAGTCGGGGTTAGTCGTTTAGTTTGTGCGAGGGCGGGGTTGGTTTAGTGGTTGAGTTTATGGGCCCAAGGGTCCGCATTAGCATTCCAAATGTCACACGATGCAGGAAAGAAAACAATCGGAGAGCCGGAGTCATAAGCGGTGGGGGGGAGTGCAACAACACCGACATGAAAATCAGAAATGATGATTTGTTTTTCGCAGCGACAGGCTTCTGACAGCTTTAATCCTAGCATGTCGGAAACGATCAATACATCAGTAACAAACAACAAAGTGAGAGCCAAGTTAATATTTTTGATTGACACTACCTTGCTCCCAAAAATCAAAACAAGAGAAATTGAAAAAGATCCATCTCTTTTGTAGCAAAGTGATTTGACTTGCGTCAACATGTCGGTGTTGCGCTGCCATGAGCATCAAAACGCGGCGACTTGTGTCTCTTGTATTCCCGTACGTGAAAGGCTACCTGACTTTTGCCAGTTTCCTCATCGGAGGATTAGACTGGTCGAGTTCAAAGGTGAGAATTTGTGACACGTCTCTCTGTGCGGGGCACACGTTGCAGCATTTTACTGTCTTTTCGTGCAAAAGCGAGGCAACCCAGTGATGTCACCGCCCAAGTGTCCTTCTCATCAGTGACAACAAAAACTAATCCGAATGAAATCAGACTCTTCGGCGGCCTCCAGTACCAAACGGTCCCGAGGATCATCGGTCTAGAGCACGTCGGTACCGTGACAAGCCGAGCCCTTCCATCTGTCGCACCTCCCAAACAGTTGTCGCAAGCGCAATTAAAAACAGAGGAAAGCCAACCCCCCAAAAAAAACCCTCTAGCGCAATAATTCACCTTTCTTGACTAGCACGCCATCCCTCCACGTCCATTTCTACGCCTTGTGGCATCTCATCCCGACAGGCTCCACGCCTCCCGCTTCTCTTCCCACGGACCTCGTTTTAATGAGTCCAACGAGGGCGAGTAATCCTCTCCCGCTTTGGCAGCGTTAATGCGTTTGCTGATTGTGAAAACGACTCCGCCGCTCCCGACGCTGTCTCCCTTGTTGTTGTTTTCTGGCCTCGTCCTCATACTGCCTCATCCAGCGGTGGGCACTGAGCTACGTTGACAACCTAAATTCTCATTTGGGGTTCCATGAAACTGTATTCAGTTTTTCCCAACAGTCTTTTCTCTTTTTATTTGTATTTTTTTCCTTGTCCAATCAGATTTCAGCCTGTATGTGTTGCCCCGTCCATCCGATCCGCCTTCAGAATTCGCAGCACTGGCCGACGGAGCCCAAAGTATACGAACAATGTTTCACGTCAGATTTCAAATGTGCCCCGGCCCTCGATGACATCGGCATTTTTACATCCTCCAATGGGTCGATCGGAGCAAAACACATCTGTCAATCCGAATTTTGGGGACGTATGACATATATATATATTTTTGGGTTTGATTATGTTCGTCGAGTAACATCGGCTGAAATCGTATTTTCTACAATTGAGGTCATAACCGTGGCGCTTATGAAGAGGTGAATTGAGTACCGGCGAAAGGCCCAGATACCAAATCGTTGGCCACGCTCCATTCCTCTCCCCTGTGCTCATGTTCCTTTCTTCGCCTCCTCCTATCCATCAATCCGTGTCTCCAGTTACGATCGCAGCTGTTCCCGGCATCCGCCCCCGATGTCCCGCGGCGTGGCCCCGCCCCTCTCCCGCGCGCTCCCGTGCTCCCTGGCGTCCGAGGAGAGCCGGCAGACACTGCACAGCACCTCCTTCTCCTTCGCCGACCGGGAGAGGTAACGACTCGCTTAAGGAAAAAAAAAAAACAACAAAGTCTGTGTCGTACTGAAATTGGACAGCAGCGCGCTTGCGTTCTCCAAAAGGAGCATTCAGGCCGGTAGTGTTGAAAAAAAATATATATTTTTTTCCCCTTCCGTGATGAGTCACTCTTGGGGGGGAAAAAAATTTAAAATACCCGGCCACCATCCGCAGAACGATGCTTTTGTTCAAGGGTATTTACAGTTAATCTCAAAAAGGATAATTATAGTGCTGCACTCCTCCTTCTAAGTCTCTGGTGACGCAGCTTGAGTAGTTTGGGAGTACATCACTTTTTCAGCTTCAGGCCTCTCCGTTCCACTTTAACTCACATTAACACCACCCCCCCAGACTTCTCTTTTAGTTTCTCTTTTTTTTTTTTAAACACTTTTTCTTGTCTTGTCTCTTGCTGTGTCAGGATCCCGGTCGTGAACCTCTGAGGGGGCTCCTTTTTTTTTTTTTTTTTTTTCTCTCTGCCATATGGTGAACACTTCTACGGAGCCTCCAGAATTTTTTGGGGGTCCGCCTGCAGCAGCATTTTTCATTTTCTCCCAAACTGTGAAATACGTTCAGGGACCGCTGGTATTCAAGCCGCCGCGCAAACTCCTCGGCTTCCCTGAGGTCTTAAACCTAAACTCATCATGCCCGCCTCTTTCCTTGCTTCCTTCCTTCCTTTCTTCTGTAAATTTCCTCTGTGTGGCTGTCACGGCCCCGAGCTGTGCCAAGCGCCGACCCGCCGTGACGAATCCACAAACAAACAATTTAACAGCCGTGCAGCATCCCCGTTTGAGGGCCCAATCTCGCTCCCCCCGCGCGCTTCCAGTCGCGCAGTTGCACCTCGCAAGACTTGTTGTTCGCTACTCTGTCGCCACAAACATTCCTGTTTTCTTGCTCGTAAATGGCGGAGTGTCAAAGGCGTTTTTCGTCACGGACCGCATCCTCGTTAGGCTGTCGAGACAACATGCAGACTTACGACAGATTACATGCGCACAATTGCCCCCCCGACAGTTTGATCGTTATTACAGTGGTGCCTTGAGATATGATTAGCCAGCGTTCGGACGATCTTTTGCTTTTCGACAACGGTGTAATGGGACTTATCTCAAATGACTGTGAGTCACAATCATTGGCCAAAAGTGAACCAATTCATTTAAAAAAATAAAATAAAAAGGGCTTCAAGGAAAAACAAGCACAGATTTAACTTTGCCTTAATTCCACTAGTTTAATGCTAACACATAACAGGAAAGGCCGTCGCATCTACTGTATGTGGTAAAGTAATCCTGTTTTGCACACAAATGGTGCAACAAAACATGTAGACAGAAAATATAGCTCTACTCAAAGGCACATTTATTCTCCGCAACAAAAAAACAAACAAAAAAACAACAACTGCTGCTTCAGTTTATTGAGTCAATTAGAGTAGCTGAGTCAAATTCTTCTTCCTTTGTCTGTGTGACCATATTATACTGCCGCCTGGTGGCCAGGTTTTGCATGCCAGGAGCTGCAATGAATTCATTTTCCTGCACAAACTCTTTACTTATTTATGTTATTTACTTCTGTTATGCCTATATTTTTGTACATAGTGCAACATTACAGAGTTTCTTTAAAAATCGTGTGAAAAATAAAGTTTTTGGGGAGGGATTTCCATTCATTTCATTCGGAAAGTTGATTTGAAATATGAATATTTTGAGCTCAGCACGCGGTCACGGAGCAAAGTAAACTCATATCTCAAGGCACCTTTGTGGAATATACGAACACCTAATTGAATTGGAAATCATACGTCATAGAAAATTCTTCAAGTACAAGAAGCCGGTAGACTGATGGGTTTAAAAATTGACGAGAGATGCCACACGATAGCAGCAAAGGACTACCAGTGTCTTGATTGCGACACCCGTGTTGTAAATGATCAGAAAATTCATCCACCATCGAGCGTCGGCATCTCCTAACAAGGATTGATGACTTTCACCAATCTGTTGGGCGGGGCAGGAGCCAACGGGCAACTGTTGAACACGTCCGGCTCCAAAATGACTCCCCGTTTCCAGCCTGGGAAAAATGCTCATTCCTTGGGCGGGTGTTTTTCCAACTGGTATTCCTCATGGTTTGTTTCCTTCATTATCTGGCGTTCGCCTCTTTGTTCACACCGGGGTGTGATGAGCAAAGCACTTTCTTCCAAAGTCTTCATGGCTATTCCGGCAACCAATCCCAAAGGTTGGCTTTTTTCTTCTTTTTTGGGTTCCTTTGTGTACGCTTGACAACAGAGACAGATTTACCGAGACGTCGTCATGGAGAGCCAAGGACGACCGCGACAAGGCGACGGGGATTTTTTTTTTTTTTGACAGGTACTGCATCGTGGAAACAAGCACCATCATCTGCCTTCACGTGTAATCACCGTAAATCATGCGAAAGAGGCACCAAAGGAACTTTCAAGGGAACGTTCACGTCGCCCGCCTCATCACAATCAAATGTATTATTCATAAATGTCTATTTTTCACGTACCGATGGGCTTGTGACGTCTTCTAGAACCGCGCAAAGACACGAGTCAGACTTTTGTCTTTTCCAAGCAGTGGGACCGAAGTATTGAGACAGCAGGTCATTTGGAAAATCCACGTACGCGTTGTGCACTTGATATCCTCGCAGTGAGGACTGTTTCACTCTGTTCCGTTCTCACTGACCATACAGAATGGACGGTTAAAACATCTTGCTTACTTACCTTTTATTGTCAGAACTCGTAACATAACGTAGTCTCGTAACATCGCGGAGGACACACATCACTTCCGGTTTCCTCACCCAAAGCTGTCCCACTAGCAACATCAACACAATCTAACTTACTCTTGTTACAAGGACGACGATGCTAATGTCGAGGCAAAACTGTGCGCTCGTCAACAACGGGTTGCTATTCTTACTCGTCTCGGCACCAAATTCGACTTGTTCACATCCAGAGCTTCACTAGTAGGGTTTGGCAGCTGCAGATTCACTTACTTTTTTTCTGGATTGAAAAAAAAAATCTAGATTTTAATTTTTTAGCAGTACCAAGTAGTTGTCCTGCTACGATGCCAAAGTAATCCTCGTGCGTAGAAATTTCATTTAGTGAGAAGGGAAAAAAATGCTACTTCTGTTCTACTCGTGTGCCGAATTGTCTTACTAGTGAAGAAAAAGTGTCGGGCAATACGTGGACTCGAAACTGGATGCCAAGGCCATGGAATAAAGGCTGACGCCTTCCTGGCGTCCCAATACTTTTGTCCCCATCGAGTTTCTTCCAAGACAAGCGATTGCGGGTGGCGTCATGCGTGGCTCGTGCACATTAGTCTTGTGGTTTTTAGTACAACCCCCATAGGACTAGATGGTCTTTCTGTACCATGCGAGTTCAATAAAAGACAACCCGAGTGTTTGAAACTGCTGTCGCCCTTCTGTTCCTTTGAGCGCTTGGTGGAATCACGCCTCAAATGTTGACTTTTAATCGCGGGCCAACGTTGCGGTTCTTCAAGCAACGTGCAGAGCGTTGATTTCAACAAATCCCGCGGCGCACGCCAATCACGTCGGCAGGCCAAAAGGGACTTCGAGAAAGGAGGCGCATGTTGATCCGGACGCCTCGTCTGCCCTCCGCCAGCTACGGGCAGATGATCAGGATGCCGGCTGAAAGCCCCCCACCCCGCGCTCCGTTCGTCACGTAACTGTCAATGCAATCAGGGGAGGGCGAGCTGGAGGGGAAATGCCACGAGAGTGTATCGATATGCACAAAATTACCATGCGCGCAGTAGGGAAATTTCACTGGTCGGGGTAATTGATTGGACCGGCTGAGAAGAGCGTCTCGCCTTTGAAAAGATAAAATATTGAAAAAGACTTGCCCGTCGGCAGATAAGACATCCTGCCACTGGCAAACCCTCTCCAGAGATGTACAGTTGTTAGAATTCGCACTGGTGAGGGCCGGGGTGAGGGTGGGGGGAGTGTTGCGAGTGACAGTGAGTGAAATTAACGCCACTATTTATAAATGTGGAGGGCAAGATGCAAGGTAACGGAACGGGAGGGGGTGCGATGAGTTATGATGGTTGTGACAGTAAAACCCGTCATAACTCATCGCACCCTGCGCACCACAGCCAAGACCGAATAGCAGCGGACCATAGCAAGCAAATCAAAGTCTGCAACTCTTTGACACACACACACACACACACACACACACACACACACGCACCAAGCGATTGCATCAAGAACAATGATAAGTACGCCACAGCTGGAAAAACGCCGACCCTGTGTCCAATTTTGAGGCTGCACATGCAAGACACTCTGTGACGATTCCAATATTTGGCAGATTAAAATTCCAATAATTGATTAATTAACATGAAGAAAATCACATTTTTTGGGTCCCTTAAAAATCTAAATTTGAACGACTGAAATAAATATTTTCAACGATCTGTAACTGTGGAATCTTTTGATGATGTGTATCAAACGCTGTTATGAAAAAGAAAAATCATTTTGCCTACATGCAGAATTCTTTTATTTTTGACAATTCAGCCAGATCGTACCAAACAGCTTGGAAAAAAATGTGTACAACTTTCCCCACGTCATGTCTCGATTTCCTCATCATATTTCACCCCCCCCACCCCGAAAAAAATAAAAAAACAAAAACAATTTTGAAGCCCCACTGAGCTCGACTCTCTTGAGATTTGTTTGATTTCCACCTGACTTTTGACGCATTCCATATTGCGGGTGCATGAAGCGCCGTTACTCCGTCGAAGCTCAGGGTAGACCACAAGAGGAATCGGAATGGCCTTTGAATGAGGCCTGGGCGCTTGTGATGCACGGGCGTCTACGGGGACACGCCCTAATTAACGGCTTGACCTCCTCATGGAAGCCCCCCCTTCTGGGAGTTAACATTTAGCGGCGGCGGCGCCCTCCGGAGATGCGCTGAGAAGCGCCTGCATTCAAAGATGCCACACTGACATGAATGAGATCTCGTCAGGATAAGTGCAATGGCTTTTTTTTTTTTAATTTCCCAACAATTTATACAATTCTCAACTCAGGAGGGATGGGAGGAGATGACAAAAAGGAGTCGAAGCCAAAGGCAGCAGCACGTTGAGAGCACACGCACATGACAAAACGTATCAGAAAAACTCCTGCGCATGGGCTGAGGCGACGGGCTGTCCAGTCTTGTTCACTCTCTTCAAAACGGCAGGAGAGGGGACGCCGCGACGGGCACAAAATCCGTCAAGGTGAGATTAAGTGAGTGACTAAAAAAAAAAAAAAAAATTTAAACGTTCCCGTGAAGCTTCCTGTCAGAGTGGGGGTGGCGGCGGGGAGGCGTGATGGCACCCCACTCGGAGCCCATCACTTTGAACGCTTCCATTTTTGTCTCACGAGTCCCGTGAGAGTGCGGATCAGTGGTGCGGTTTGTCACTTCTTCAGTTGGACTTGGACCAGATCTTGCCGCTGCCTCGCAGCCTGGCGAGTAGAGAATGATGTCACTGGTTATGTGTGGGTTTTTTGTTTTGTCCGCCCCCACCCCCACACACAAATAAGAGGGAGGGCAGAGGCGCTCATTTGCTCTCCTCGTTTTCTTTTGCTCCCATGCGGCGCTCACGCGGGGATCATAAAGTCCCCTCCAAAAGTATTGGAACAGGACCTTTCCAAATTGTGCAGCAGCTCGCATTCTTTTTCCCTCTTCCTCAGCTTTGCTTTTCTCCCAGAGACAACTCCCTGATCTTCACGTTTCCCAAAAGGCAACAGCAGTTTTCACAGGTATCGAACATTTTCGCCACCAATCCGAAAGGCAAAGACCTGAGCAACTATACAAGCGCCTCCCAGCCACGTTTCACAATACCTTTAAGGGCACCGGAAAGGCAGGTGGCTTCGAACAATAGGTGCTCTCGGTTCCGAGTTGAAACGCAAATGTATCCATTGAACTCGCCATTTTCGATATTTGGGGAGGGGATCGTTTGTGTACAAATGTAGCATTGTTGAGACAGCAATGGTTTTAAATCAGGGGGAAAAAAAAAAAAAGATGACTTCTTGAACAAGGTGGACCACAACATTTGCCCGGAACGCGCGGTTTGTACCTCGTGACATTTTTCATTCCGGGACAGATGTGCAATTGAAAACTGCTAATGGAGGCAGAGCAGAACAACCCTGACAGCCACTTCGGGCGGCAGCTGGCTTTTTAATGTTTATTGTGGAAAAAAAAAAAATGCACCCACGGTGGCTTCCCGCTGAATTAACTTTGCTCTCTGTGAGAACATTGGACTAATGGCTTTCATTTAATGTTGAAGGAGACACTTAGCCGCGTTGTCGTTATTACTCGCCAAATGCATATTTATAAAGTAGACTTTCCACAGCCCAAAGTGCTCCGCAGGAAAAATGGAAAAAAAAAAAGACAAAAATAAAAATTGCATGTGATCTATTTGTGGCAATGTACTTATTTTGAAAGATTTGAGGGGGAAAAAATACATTCAATTACATCACGAGCCAAATGTTGATTTAAAAAAAAAAAATTCAAGGCAACTCACCCTTTGACTTTGGAACTTTTTTTTCCCGGCTGTCGCGGTTCCTGCGAGGAGGCGGGGTCCCGCGGTTCGGCCGGCTGGTCGGCGTCCTGATTGGAGGCTGCGCCGGCGGGGGCGGGACCGGATGACGGCGACGCCGCACTGGCCTTTAAGGTTTTCTGCAGGTTTGACACCTGAGGAAGAATCACCATTGGGTCACCAGTCGCCAGGTTACTCTCAGCGCGTGTTTGGGCCGAAAACATGAACTTGACAATATTTTTTGCGGCCCAACATTTGAAACATACAATGTTTGTTTTTATATGAAAAAAGGTCAAATGGACAGTGGTATGTTGCTTCAAACAAAATGTAGCTTTGTACAAGACCTAAAATTTAAAAAGTACATGAGCACGTGGCTTAAAATATCAAACGAGGACTGCTTTGTGGCTGAAAAAGCAAAATGTGGTTTTTGGTTTAAAAAAAAAAAAAAAAAAAAAGTAATATAGCGCCGTTTGTGTTCACAGTGGCCTTTATCGTGTGGAAGGCAGTTAAGTAATTTCATGGAGCTGCTCTTGAGAGATGGCTTTCATAAGAGAGGGATGGTAGACCAGCAAACACAACTGGGAGCACAATGGCCAGGGGCAATGATGGAGAGAGAGAGAAAGAGGGGGGGAAAAAAAATCCAGTTGGGATTTTCTTCTTAAATATCACAAGTAGCCAGCCACAGGCGTAAAAGGGTAGGCCGGGGAAAAAGTCGCATTGATGGAGAGGGAAGGACTCAAGGCGTCAACACTGACCTCTGTTTCCACTTGAACTTTGACCTTCAGCTGACTCTCGCGGTATTGATTCGCTCGGGAGACTTGCTCTTCGATGCCACACAGCACCGCCTCGCAGCCCGCGCACCTACGAGGAAAGCAGAGGCAGGGCCATGGAGCGGGCGGAAAGCGCACGCGGCGTCGTGAGGGTGGGGGTCGGTGGGCGGGTTTAACTGACCACTCCTGCAGTGTGTTGACGATGTTGGGCAGCTCGTTGGGGCCCAGGTCGCGGCCCACGCTGCAGTCCACCTCCACCTGCTGGTTGCGCTGGTCCAATTTGCCCTGGATGATGTCGCAGTACACCGCCTCGATCAGCAGGTCCTCCAGCTCGCGTACGTTCTTCAGCTCCAGCTGCTGCAGGAGCAACGAGTACGGCAGGCACTGGGGGGCGGGGACAAAAGGCAGGCTTTCTAAAGGCTGCGCGAACTTTGGTGGGGAAATGGCACATTTGTTGAAATGTCGCCGGCAAAGGAGGAAGACGGGAACAATCTGCCGGGCAATTCTGAGAGTTCGCGCTCGTGACATTAAACGCGGCAAATCACAGGAAGGGGAGAAGCGCGGCAGGACGTCAGATGGGACGGAATTAAGCGATATCACACTCCAGATCGTCGAGTGCCGTACATCATCATGGCTGTGTGCTTATTGCTTTTAGACGACAGTTCTCCAAGCGCAGGTTGTTAGTTCAAAGTGGGAGATGAGATGGGAAACAACAAGTCGTGATTTGTTTAGCTTTGCATTCATTTGGCATGGCCAACGCAAATAATTCCGCAAACAGAAGCGTGAGCTGCACAGTCAACTACCCAAGCGTGAAGGGGGAAAAAAAACCCAAAAGAAAACTGAATCTTGTTTTACTGTGTCACTTTAACGGAGCGTGTGGCGAGCAGATTCAACATTTTAAAGCTAAGTTTGACCGTGCGGAATTAAAATGAGATATGAGTCGTGATCCTGGACGCCCACTTTTGGACTGAGATGTAGCCCCATCCGCATCAACACTTTGAAAATGTCAAATGGTAGTTCAACTTCCATAAGAAAGAAATTCAATGACAGCTTTCTGCTTCTGACCGGCATCTAACAATGAAAAGCAACACCCTTATTTTAACAGCGAAGCAAAGAGCATAGATATCGGTTTTCCAATGTAGCGAGTAAATGTAAAAAGGATCACAAAAGTAAATACTTTATGTAAAGTACAGACGGTGAAGCAGCATTTAGCGGTTATGCTGCACGCAAATGGAATCAACTGGCAAAAGAAGTGATGTCAGCGCCAAGTGTAACGCTTTTTATTCCAAGTTAAAAATGGTGCCGAAATTGAGATCTTTTAAAATATTTTTTTTCAATATTCCCCCCCCACCCCCAACTCTTGTTCTTACATTGTACGTTCTTTTAGGAATTTTATTTACTGGCAAAAGAAGTGATGTCAGCGCCAAGTGTAACGCTTTTTATTCCAAGTTAAAAATGGTGCCGAAATTGAGATCTTTTAAAATATTTTTTTTCAATATCCCCCCCCACCCCCAACTCTTGTTCTTACATTGTACGTTCTTTTAGGAATTTTATTTGTATTCCTGTACTTTACTTTTTTTTTTTTTTTTTGTCAATACTTTTAAATGTTCTACATTTATGCATAGCATACCGAGTTACCTTGTTCATGAAATGCACGACAGCCGTACAGTCACAAATTATGCACTGGAGCAAAAAATAAAATAAATAGAAAAAGAAATCAACCTGATGGGTTGAAAATAGCGCGCTACGTTGGGAGTACTTGTCTGATTCTAACGAGACAATCCAGCTCGACTCGTGACGGCTCCTCTGCGGGGGTGACAACACCGACGAAGGAGAACGGGTACCTTGAGGTTGGAGGCCAAGCTGATGATGGACAGATGGCGTAGTTTGTTCCGCTGCGCCGGCGTCAGCTCTGGGAGGGACGCCGCTCGAGCTGGAAAGAGTCAAAGGGTGAGCAGTGGTCGCTCAATTCGCTAGGCGCAGTATTGAGAGGTATTTGTTGATTTCATTGATTGGGACTGCAGTTGGCAGTACCGCACGACTGCATCGTACTAAGAGACAGTTTGTTATATTTTGACTCGCGTGGCTAAAAATCGACGGGTCACCAATTAATTTACAGGTGGATTTGAAGATTAAAAAAAAAAAAAAAAAAACCCGTCAAATATCCACCTTGGCTCAGGACTACCACTACGCTGTGATAACATGAGGGGGAAAAAAAAAGTTACAATGCCTCGTATCCTCTGCAGTTCAGTAAACAAACGGCCCCTGGCCAAACAGGGTCATTCCGATCAAGATGAAACAATTAAAACTTCAAGTTGGAATGGCCACGAATAGTAAAAAGACAGAAGCGCCATGAATGTTTGTGTCTTTTTTTGTGTGTGTGTCTTGTTTTGACACAGTCAGTATAATGAGCCGGTCAGAAGGAGCGCGCCAATTTGTTTGTGAAGCAGCTGCCAACGGCACCTTCCGAGACCATGTTTATTTCACGCCTCCGAGTCAAGGCGGCGTGCCCCGCAGCCACAAAATACAGCTTTGTAATAAAAGAGTTAGCTGCGAGGGACACGCGGGCGGACGCTCACGGCGTATTCGAGCGGCTTATTGGCATGCCATGCCGTACCTTTGTAGTCGCAGTAGGTTCCGTAGGCGAAGAGATTGAGGAGCTGGTACATCGGGGCGTGAGGGCCATTCTCCATCTGGCGAATGAGAAAAAACATGTGAGATCACATGAAATTGCACGAGTCACGAGGTAGAAAGCGTCACCGAACACTGAGAGGAATTCCCAAAAGGAGCGAGAGGTCGCCATTTGCTATTTGAAAAAATGTTTTTTTAAGGAATCCTCTGTCATTCGCTGAAAAACTCACCTACTCTATGGTTTTGTGCTGAAAATAAAAGTGTAGCTTTGGCGCCATCTTGCCGCCCGAGAACTATGTTGACCTGAGAGAAGGAGCTTCATTTCGTCACGCTGTAGCCATGTCCGATATAAAGTAGTGCTCTGGCACCAGCTTGCGCAACTCTTTTGGAGGGGGTGGGGTGATAAATTAATGACTCGCAGATTTTCACCGTCCCGATGCCAGGGGGGCCACGGTTTGTGGAGTGCTTTGATGCCAGGGGGAAAAAAAAAAAAAAAAGTTCATGTGTGATGCCATCTTGGTGCCAAGGAAAAAGAAGGACGTTGAAGTGGGGGGATTGTGGGGGGGCCTTCTACTGGAAAATCCAAAGCCCCGACGAACAGAAAAGTCGTGCTCGGTGCCATCTTACGCCATCTGTAGGTCATTTCAAAGCCTTTTTGGAGGAGTGTCAATTACGTGGCAGTTTTTCGCCAATCGTAGCGGGGCTCATGCCATGCGCTCGATAGCGGTGACACGCCTGCCGTTGTTCTTTCAGAAACAATCTGCTTATATCCACGCTGATTTCTCTCCTTTTATTAATCATCAGTGAGTGTGGAAAGCAATGTGGCCGAAATTGTCCTTGACGGTGACGAAGAGGAGGAGCTCCTCAGCGAGCACGTGACTAATCACGTCCATGCTCAGCACTGCATCGACCAATCGGAGACAAGGACGCTGCGCATTTGCACGACTGTTCACTTTTTGGTGCTTGGGAGAAAAAAAAAAAAAGACCTTTTGTTTCTTTCCATTAATCCCGCAATTCGCGCCACCTAAAGCGTTTCAAAGATAGATCAGAAATAACCGGGAATGAGCCGAGATGGGATTTGGAATAAATTCTGCTGAAAGTAAACAAGCGTATTAGCAAATTAGCCGCTCCGGCGCGCAAGATGAATATGCATATTAGCACATAGTGACTGCGCGGGCCCGACAGCGTTTAACTTCACTACAGAGTGAGCCACTTCACGTTCGTCATGCCCGCTTTGCCAGATCCACCTACACCATCGAATGAGATCTGGCACAAGTGCCGGATTCCACATTGCCTCCAAAAAAAGACCCTTGGAATTGGGTGCCGTGTGGATCATTGGCAGGATAAAATTAGCTTATCTTTGACTGACACTGTTGTCAATTGAACCACCACCACATCGTGCAAAACAGCAATTAGGGTGAAGAGAAGGAAATTAACTGGTTCGATTTCCTGTCTGTACACACGTGGTATTCATGTGTTGGGAATGTGCTTTTGTGGGGCGTGGCCGAGCGAGTGGTGTCAGGAGCTGGCAGCGCGTCTGCGTGTGAGCGTCTGGGTGCGAGTTGTGGCCTACAGCAGCTCCTTACGAGTGCTCTCATTTTGTATTTTGTTAGCCCGATAACCGACAACACAGCGTTCCAGATTATTATGCAAATAGTGGGTGTGGGGGGGGGGTGTTTGTTCAAATGCCCTGCTCCCAATGAAGATGATGCACAAGACTTTTCGTAGATCGTATAGAACTCAAAAGTCATCACTCCATTTGTTGTGTTTTGTCTTGTTTCGCAAAAAAGGTTGAAAAACGACGACCAAGGCAATGATGCAATAACGGCAACAATTTGGCCGTTTGGCTGTGACAATAAACCGCCGGAAGCGCCTCTGCGAGTGGCTCTCCTAGCTTTTTTCCCCCCACTCCCATCTCACTCAAGCGGAGGCAGTTACCTCTCTGACGTTAGGCAGCTCAAGGATGTCGGAGAACACGTAGAGGCCGGGGGTCTCCAGCAGAGAGCTGACAGCCTGGGCCAGCGCCGAGCCGGACAGAGACAGGAGCTGCTCCACCTCCATCTACAAAAAGAGAGAGATGCAGACGGCTACTTCATTGCGCTCGCCGTGCGGCGACTCGCAGCTCAGCTGCGATGCATTCAAGGATTATTAGCGTCTTAATCCCTGCTAGTATGTTCAGAGCGCTCAAAAACCACAAAACAGACTTTCGGGGATTCCCTGAGCTCACGAGTGGAAGTCCAAGCCGCGTGCAGGCGTCCTTCCCGTGCCCTTCGAAAAAGCAGCGCCGGCTTCGTGTGGTGCGATGAAAGGACACCCGATAGAACACATTGACGACTTCATCTACGGGTACGCCTGCATATATAATAATACTTTGAAATCAGAGCTAGAGCTTGTTTTGGTAGGGCCACCACAACTCTGCGACCAAAAAAAAAAAAAGGCTTAATGTTGTAATAGCAGGGGTGTCAAACTCATTTTTTGTTGCGGGCCACTTCAGAGTTATGGCTTCCCTCAGAGGGCCGGTGCACAATCTGAAGGTTATTTATTACCCATGACAATTTGACATTTCGGTACAGAATTCAGCAAGAAGCCTGATAGTTGACACACATGATTTGCTCCCGCGGGCCACATCAAATGACGTGGGAGGCCGGACTTGGCCCCCGGGCCTTGACTTTGACACTTGTGCTGTATAGGCGTTGTCATCCCCTGGGTGGGCGTGGCTAGGACAGTATCTCGAGGGTCTTCAATCCTGTTCCATCTGAATCAGGTGTGTTGCAGCAGGGAGACGCGGAAAAGAGGCCGGACAGCGGACCTCTGGGAAGAGGATTGAAGCCCCCAGTAGTAGATGAACAGGGAATCATTTTGGACACATCAGATATTCTTCCGCATCCGGGTGGGTGGGAGAACAAAGTGGCATCGTGTGCTCTTGATTTGGATCAGCTATTTTAAGAGCTTCCTCCCAGAGAGCGCATGGTGGCCCACTTGGGACATCTTAGTCTCGCAATGCACGATACAATTACTCAGCTTGCGTCAGACTACTTTCACCACTGCGGGCTGCGTCTTAAAATTAATGCCGCAGAGAGATGCTTTGGGGGGGGGGGGGGATGACTGGTTCTTCTTCATCTTGCGCTGACACTTATTAAAAGGAATTTGCATGTTATCGTCTAATACAGAGGTGCTTTATTCACCGGCTCACGCGCACGTCTGTCGCCCCACCGGAGAGCCGGCCGGCGCTTTAAACAAACATATTTCAAGCGAGCGCCCTGGACAAATGAGTTGGCAGGTTTGACAGCCAAAACAATCGACGCTGAATCTCGGCATCCATTTCATGCTTAAATAATAAACACATGAAATGAAGCTGAATGAATGAGGGTGGATGCGAATAGACGCCGACACTTTGTGGCTGTGGTCCAGAGAAGCAAAAACACTTTCAGGTCAATTAGAGCTCATCTGTAATCTGAATATTAAGGAACCGGAAGGGTGGAGAAGGACCATAATGTTGGCCGCTAGTCAAGTTCACTGGTCACTGGTCAAAATAACTGGGACTGTAATCGGAATTATACAAAACATGCCTCATTTTTCAGCCTTTGCTAGCGCTAATGCTAAAGTCAAATGCTAACGGTAAATTAGCATCGACTTCGGGAGTGACTGTCCTTCAAATAACGAATATTTACACACACATGCAAATAATATAACACAAACAAGATAACACGACTCAAAAGCACAAATTCTTCCCAATCGGTGGAAAACAATTTTTATTATTATCGTTCAATCGAGAGCTTCTCCTGTTCTCATTCTAAATGTGTCTTCCATCCACGCACGGCCCCACACTGCCCCGAAGAGGACAAAATGCACAGAACAGCCACTATTTGTTTTTAAAGGGTTTTTTTTTTCAATTGCTACTTTTTTTTTTTTTTTATAAAATGAGATGTCCGGTACAACAAGACGAAGCTGCTACAAATAAAACAGTGATGTATGCATTGCTCATTTAAATATAATGAATAAATAAATAAATAAATGAATAAATAAATGAATGAATGAATGGAATCGGATTAATCCGGACAAATCGCGCTGTAGGGTGCATAATGTAATTTGCAAGTAATTCAACAGGCGGAAAAAAAACAACTTGAAGCATTTAGCAGCTTGTTCGTGACATCTTGAATGCGTGATTGTACAATCAATGTGTTGCCAACTTGCTCCCCCCATCCAAGGCACTATTGTGACAACGTTTAATCGAGTTGAGCAGCAGATGGCATCCCAATATCAAAAACTAAAAAGACAAAACAGCACAGCTCAAACGCAATTCGGGAGAGCCAACAACTAACAAGTCGGGTCAGTGAGTGGACGACATCATCAAGGAATATCAAGTGTGCTCATCGCAAAGTCTGTTTGGGTTTTATTTGACGAGTCTGCCAGGCGTGTAACAACAAGAAAGAAAGAATTCTGCACCAGAAATTAAATAATGAATCCTACACTCATTCCAACACTAGCTACCATATCAGCCATGCTCTTTTTTGCTTCACTGTTATTTGATTTATTAGAAGTGTTTGGAGGGGGAAAAAATGTTCTAGTCCAGTTGGTTTGGACTGGGGTGCTGCAACTTTCTAAGATTCAAGCACAAACTCGACCAGGCTGCACTCCATTTAATAATGTAAATAAATAAATAAACAAGCCCTCGGGCTAATAGGAAGTGATGACTCTGAAAATCACCCCCCAAGCCAATTTTATTACTTGAGTTTTACTCTAAATTAAACGCTGCCTATAAACCGCTTATACTGCAATGGCTTTTGTGGCGTTTTCGCAGATGTAAACAAGAATTAGCCATTTTGCTGATGAGCTGGAATTTAAATACGATCCTCTGATCCTTATTAGGAGGAAGGAAAAACAAGCAACGAACAAAGTACGGTGAATCGCCATTCGCAAACTCACCTACTCGAAACAACGCAGAGATAGATGCTGATCGCTACTTAACATGCAGAAAACTGTGAAATACGGATGATTAATGAAAGGGAGAAATATTAAAGATAACTTTTACCTTTATTGAACATAATAATTACAACGACTGTGTTAAAATATTTATTTCGGTATAATTTTCGTTTAACTTTTGAGCGCAATACATTTTAACGTAATCGTTACATAAATACTTTTCCATATACACTATACGTAGGTACTGTACATCTATAAAGGGGAATTAAACCCAAGATGTTTCTGTCATTTATTTATCGGCAAAGTATTTATTAAAAAAATATGTTTTGAACATCGGGTTACCAGAATTAAACGCGTTCTAAAAAGCATTATAGACGAAATAATTAATAGACAACAAAGCCATCTTTGACCTTTCGTTTCGCCTTATTTATTTGTTTTATCACTTGTCACTGTGGTCATAAATTGCAATTTGAGTTTAAAGTCTTGATTGTCTCCTGCCTCCTCGGCCATGCAGATCCTCTATCGTCATCCGGTGTTTTACATTCACTACTGTGAGCAAGTGAAACGAAACGACCCTACCGAGAGGGGTGATAATTTATCCACACGTAATAGTGTTTTGTTATTTCTGCCACTAAAGCTGGCATGTCATACTAGCATATTAGCATCCACAAACGCTAGGCCACGGTTTATTGTAAGCCTTTCCATAGACCAGAATTAATACAAGGAGACTCATAGGTGATTTAAAGGGACTGGGAATGCATGAAAGTCGCCATAAAACTATTCTAAATAACACAAATTTGAGTAAATGTTACCTTGTTGTGTTGGTAGCAAGCGGATTAGCCTTCCCGGTCGGTCGTTCACTTCCGCTCAGCTCACGTACGACAACAAGTTAACGTGCTCTCTGATTGGACACTCGTTGCGTTGGGGGTGGAGGACAGGGCGTGGTTTGTAGCTGCCGTACGTCACCAGAGTGAAGCAGCGAGAACAGCGACATCCAGAGGCTATTCAACTTCATACCAACACGTTGTGACCTGGCTTAGAATGTTTCTCAAACAATGCTACGTGAAATGTTTTCTACTTGAGGAACAAAAAAGTGAGGCAATAAAAATACTTACTATTTTAATAAGGTGTACTAAATAATGACGTGCTTTAAAACGAAAATAAATGCAGGACATAATCGAAGACGGCGAAAAGTCTTCGAGTCAAATAAATGTGGTGGTAGCTGAACACCTGCGCAAGGCAGCGGGGTTCCTCACACACAAAAAGTTTCCAAAAGGATTTGTGGGAACGTTTGACATGCGTCATGCGGCAAACGTTTCCACAAATCGGTCAAGCTCCCCCTAAACCTCAGAAGAGAAAAAAAAAACAATACTGGCGCCGTGCCTGCGAGTTTTATAGCTGCTGTCAGTTAGCGGATCTCGCCATTATGGTCTGTGAAATTACTCAAATATAACGCAATCCAACCCAACGAAACATTTTAGACCCTGTGTAAAAATGTCTGTTTGGTCCCCAGCAGGCACGGCTCCACGACTAAAAGGGTGTTTGACCCAAGACACAGTGGGGCTGAGAAAATAATTTCTAAACGCATTGCAGAATATACAAGAAAATGCATGAGGGGTTTCACAAGGGCTACACACATTTCTGACGTGGCTATAGCCCCGGTGGAGCGTCATCCCCGGTGCTCAGTCTGTCCCTGATTGCTCTGTCTGTGTCACGGTGTAACCAGTTGGACCAATAAAAGCATCCAGGGTCAAGTAATATTGTATGCGTTTGTTCCAGAAGCAATGCTCCAATCAAAAAAGAAATGTGTAGAACCAATCAAATCTGCTTTCTTGTATGAGGACAGTGCTCACACGCACACACAGTTGCAATGTAAACTGTCAGACACTTAAATTGCAGTCAAGCAAGTGTGAGCGTGTCTTTATTGTTCTACGGGAATATGAATTTGAGTACACACAAAGCAAAGCTGAACCCTACTGAACAAAACAAGGGATGCCAGAGTGTATGTGTGCAGTCAGTGATAGATCAAGCTGACACCCGCTTGGTGTTTGCTTTAAACGAGCGAGACTCCGCACCATAGAGTCTCTTGGCCCTGCAGGGGAAAATATTTCACAAT